CCGCAATCCCACTGCCAAGAAGGACTTTCCATTTCCCTTTCCTTTGCAGCAGGAAATGACCTTATATCCTATCTTTTTTTCCCCTCCTCTATGGCTTATGTAAAGCAAACACTTGATTCTGGTAGCTCTGGCTCTTAAATCAAAACTCAGCTCTGGAAATTCCAAGAAAATCTCTCAACAAAAACAGACTCCTGCAAAACTCCAAATTGTTAGTTGCTTTACTATGAAAATTGGAAACTCAATAGTGAACAATAACTTCCTTGCTCCAGGCTATATTTGCCTTTCCCCTAAGGCAAATGAATGCTTCAACAGGTGGAGATCAACAGAGCAAACAGGAATAATTAGAGGTTATCTGAAATCAGTGTACACTAGTTTAATATTTTTCAAAAGTATCCCTACAACACTGAAGAGTTTGGATTTTGTGAAAATAGGGAGCTATCAAAGTTTCTTGACTGCAGAGTGATATACTTAACTTATAAGGCCCAAGATGTTCTTCCTGCATGTATTGACTGTCTCCTAGTGTTCCTGACCTCATCTTGGCAACCTAGTCTCCTGTCCCAGCTTTCCTAGTTTGCCATATCTGCTTTCCATCCCAGCCCCCTCCTCTCTTAATCCTGACCCTGTGTTTCTGTCCCTAGTCTGACGATCTGACCCCATTCTTGACTATACCATTTGCTCAGTGATTTATTTGCCTTCTTTAGTATGGACTATTGCCCAACTGATTAGTCTTACCACAATGGAAAGGCACGAAAGACCTAAGCCCCCTCCCAGATAATCATTCAAATCTTCTTTAAACTTAATGAAATTATTACCTGGGTACAAATTACCACCCTGCCTAGGTATAAATTACCACCCTGCCTAGGCAAATGCAAGACTTCAAGAAATAAAAGGGTCATTGTGGCAGAATACCCATCCCTGTTTAGGCAATCAGTATATCCTTACTTGAAAAAATGCCCAGGAAAGTACAAAGTAGCACCAGAGCCTCCAAAATTTAGTATGGATAGCCCTGAAATAGATATATTCCTTGTTTGTTTAATAAGAGTGGATAGGCACAAGTATGTGTAACCAACTACATAAGGCAGAAAAATAGAATTTGGCATAAGAATTAAACTAAAAACATTATTTATTATGAATATTTAATATGAATAAATAACTCAAGACAATACTTAATGACATGTATAACTGCTATGGTGTTGCAGAGGAATTGAAATTGGGCCCAATCAGCAGCAGTAGTTATGACTATTATTACTATTACATTGTCACGCAAAGAATGTCCAGGATTAGTTAGCAAAGTTAACAGGGTAACTCAGTTGGCGATCCAGGTAGGCTAGGCTTTCTTGATTCTTCATAAGAGGTGGCTATTTCCTGACCCTGTTGGAAGCCAAGACAGGGCTGATACTGGAAACTGGACTCAATTAGGCTTAGGGGGATGGAAGATGATAGTGGTGTTGAGATCTCACTTGCCACTCTGAAGGAGAAACCACTCCCCTCTTCACTGAGTGGTGAAAACATTAGAATTAGCACAATCTGGCCTTCAGGTTCCACACAAGAAGGTGACAGGGGAGAAAAAAGTGAAATAGTGGGACATAATCTGGGGAAAGGAAGCTGAAATTCTTCTCCCTTCACTCTTTCAGTTCAAGAATTTAAGATTTTTCTAGAGGGATCCAAGAATGTTGCTTACTCTATTACGGAAAGAGAATGAGTCATGCTACTAGGAAGATCTTCATGCTACTAGGAAGATCTAAGTTTAGATCCTAACTCTACCAATTACTTAATATTTAGAAGCTTACAAGTTATTTAATCATTCTCAAGTATCAGAACTCTCTTGAGTAAAATTGCAATGATATCACCTACCTTATAAAGTTGTCTTCTTTTCCTAGCATATACTAAGTGGTAAAACTTAACAGACAACTCTTGCCTTAAAATATTGCCTGAGTTTCTAAAATCTCCTTAATTAATGATTTGGATTCGCTGATTCATATGGTAGTGAGATCTGTTTAATCCAATTGCAGAAAAACAAGAGGAGGATCCAAGAAAGTGTTTCACAGCATGAGTTGCTTTGGAAATGGGCATATGTGAGTGAAACGTCACAATGGAGGCCTGGATAGAGCCAGAGACCATCCTAAAGATCCTAGGCTCTGGAAAATGGGGGAAAAAGATAAGAGACGACAGAGAAGTGAGAAAAGCTTGCTCTCATGTCTGGTTCTTTTCCTCCTCCCTCACCTGACTCTGCATGAAAATTTGAAGTCACTGGGGAGATGGGTAAACAATATTGGTTCTAGAGGCCTACCTAAAATGGGGCTCCTTGTAGGAAAAATCTCAGAATGAAGTGTTCAAACAAAACAAATGATATGTGCAGGATGTACTTATCTTCACGCTTTTCATGCATATAGGCAGCTTGGTAGTAATGCTGCTAGGCAGTGAATGAACCAGTTTGGAAATAACTTTGGAGGATACAGCATCCCCACTGAATGTTCTTATGAAACACATGTCTTTCATGCTTACATCTAATATCCGGAGATGAGTGGGGACCAATGCACTAGGGATTTAGCTCTTGCCCATATCACCAAGTTCTAATACCTGGTGCTGTGCTGAGGCTGAACTAGCCTCATGCTGAAGAGACTAAAAGACCAGAATAACGGTAAGTTGACTTAGTCTTCAAAGAACGGTTCATTTCCCCATATTGCAAGTCACTGAAAGCTTGGGAGAGCCACAATCCTTGGGACCAACAGAGCCTGTAGGGTATTACAGATGCCACCATCCATATTTAAAACTGGGATTCACATAACAGAAGTTCTATTTACAGGAAGGAGAAGATGTCACCTGTTATAACTACATTTGTATCATAGAGAACTGAATAACTATACAGCCAAATTTACCCAGAACTCCCACAGGAATAGCAGTTGGGGAATTAAACCAGTCAGAAGGTAGGACGATGTCACTCAGGGCAGGAAATACTCTACCAAGTGGGAACCTTATGGTGCCTGTATATCCCCAGATAGTCCCTCTTTAGCCCAGAGTGATGCTTTCCTGGATATAGTTGGACTCAGGCAGTCTCTATGATAGAACCCAAGTTAACGGATATGGTTTCTCCATTAAGTAAACCATTTGGGATGACAATAAAAGGCAGATGAACAAATGAGCCAAACTGATATTAGATGGTAACACCGAACTATTTATTTTCTGGTCATCCTTTCATATTACCTTCCCATCTCCCTGGTAAACTAGAACAAGCAGTTTGTTTCTACTCTGCTGTCTGAAGAGCAATCTGTTTCTCCAGCCATACTGTGAGTTTGCTTTCAGGATTATCTATATCTATATCAATTTCCTCGATATCTGTGGTTACTGGAGGAGAAAAGCAGCAATATCTCCTACCCTCTACCTCCATCAAAAGTATGGCTGCTCCATTAGTTTAGTCTGTTAATTTTGAACACTGAGATTCAAAGACATTAACCCAGCTGGACCAAAATCCACATAAATTTAGTCCACTTGCTAAGTAGAATGGTGGGAAAATCCTTCAGTAAACAAATTAGCCTCAAAGGCTACCAGTTAGTTACTTTCCACCATAAAGATTCACTGACTTTATTGCCATTCTCAAACATAGCAAGCCTGCACACTCCCAATCCTCTCAAACATAGCTCCCGGTATAGAGGACAGAAGTACAAAGGCCATAATAACCTTGACTGCCTGGGAAACCAGATTCATGCGGAGGCAGAGAATGGTCAATGTTCTAGCACTTGTCTGTATATCCTGCTGGTGGTAAGCAAATCCTAGACCTGTGTCCCATGGTAGGCTGAGAACGCTATCGAGACCCTGCAGGGAAGCAGCCAGACTAGACAATAAAATATTCTTGAACTGTCAAATGCTGACTCTCACTCGCTACTCTTAATCTTGCTTTCTGTTTTGGGTGTCTCTTTCACTGCAGATCCAAACTCTCATGATTTTTACATTTTCCTAGGTCTTACTCCTGATTTCTCCCTATCTTGGTTATCTATTAACATCACCAAAGTGGCAGAGTATAAAAGCGGGTGAAACTCACTGATCCTATCTTTTCTTTCTCTCTGATCATTCTAAGATGTTGGTCAGCCAATGTAGCAAGAATTAGTTATTTCCCACGGTGACCATGAGTCTCCATTTTCTCCATGAAATCCTGCCAAAAGCTTTCTTACTATTCTTTTAGACATGTGTGCCTGTTCTTGGGATATGACCAATATATCCTCTTTTGCTTATAGCGATCTTCCCAAATTTGCATCATGTAAACTTTGCCTTTCTCATTTCTCCCCCTCTGATTTTTTTCATTGCTCCTCTGTCAACTCAGTTTCATGCTGCATGTTCACATAAGATAGACATTTATACGTATACACACAAAACACAACTTTTTTTCTAAGCAGATATTCAGCCCTACGTCACAGAGATAGGCTGGAAGAGACCACTTTCTATGAAAAACTTATCTCTTCCCTACATAGAGAGACTTGTGGAATAGAAAAGATGGTCATGACACCTAATTGATCTCCTGTCCTCCAATCTGGACTGCAATTAAACCATCATGGGGTGAAAAAAAAGGGTGGTTAACCATTTCTTTATTAAAAAATATTCCAAGAAGAGTGTTTATACAACTTTCCTAAGCAACGTATCTCACTATAATTTGAGTCTTTATTACTACAAAATACAATTCTCTTCAAGTTCACTGTACTTCCCTAAAGACAGGGCATTTTGGAAAGGGTTTGAGTCATAGTTTACACATACTTTTCTAGGTGTTATTGTACCAAATGGTTTGCAAAAGATGAGTGTTTCCTATGTGTGTCTTTTTAAGATTTAAAATCCTCCAAAATGTCAGTCCTCAAATTTTTTAAAAAGCTGATTCAATAATAAAAATAAAGCATTGGTATGATTATTTAAACAGAAAATATTTGTGGGCATCAGTAAGTCTGAATGTACGCTAGTAATGATGCAATAATTTATAAATATTATTATTAAACTATTATTACTGTGGCACTTACCTTTAATCTGATGAAATTGTTTAACCAGATCTTTTATATCCAGAGAAGTATTCCCTGAAGGAATAAATACAGTAAATCAGATACATAAAATTTCCAACTTAAAATGCTTTCTTTTTCAAAGCAACAAATATATAATCTAAGGCAATAACAAACCTTCTCTAAACACAATAAGTTCTTTAAAATAAACTGCTGCAAACTGGGTGATGTTTGGTGGATTGGTTTTGAGAACGGCTCTGCTAACTCCCTCAAGCAGAGTCTTGAGGCCATAAGGTACAACAAGTCTGGGCTTTGAAGAAATCATTTTGGCAGGATGTCTGTAATCTCAACTATAATGAAGAAAAACAAAGTCTTATAAATACTATATTAGTTTTTTATTAGAATATTTCTATGAGTTAACTATATTTTCTAAGACCAAATCTGTCTATTAAAATTATTAATTTTTCTTCTAATCTCTAGGTATTTATTCTAGTAAAATGGGCTAATTATTGATGGTAGTTTAAAAAAAAAAACATTATCAATAGCTTATTATGTGCAGATGAGCAATCTATTACTATTAAAGAAATCCATGGGAAAAGCCCTGCCAGGGACTCCAGGATGATACTCAAAACAATGAATCAATAAACAAATGAACAAACAAAACCTGTTTCTGTAAAATTCAGTAAAATTTGTGCAGTAAAATTTCAAGGCAATTAAATTAAGTTCACTTATCTGTGTCCAAACAACATCCTTCCAAACCACATGGGCACTGGCTTCTGTACATTCATCATATAGAATTATGAAGTAGGGTTTCTACAAGAAAATGTCTTTTTTCCCCACCCTTCTAAATATATCTCCAGACACACTGATCATCTTTTAAGTATATATTTTTTTGTTTTAAATTTAATATTGCTTTTAACATTAATTAGAGTAGGTATAAGTTACTTGTGGTATTATACAACCCCCCACCCCATACACACCTCTTTCTTTTCTCAAATCTTCCCTTAACCTCTGCCCTAGTGTTCCCCTATCTCTCCCTTCTCCTGCCTTCCTGGATTTTAAGTGGTACCAAGGGTATTGCATAGTCTAACCTGTAATTCTCAGAGGTGCAGAAGTTGCCACCCTAAACTCTGTGTCAATGTTTACACACTCTGTTTCATTCTAAAACATGATTTAAGAAGGCTTATAAATACACGTAAAGAACAAAATTTTTTTTTTTTTAAAGATTTTATTTATTTTATTTTTCCCCCCAAAGCCCCAGTGGATAGTTGTATGTCGTAGCTGCACATCCTTCTAGTTGCTGTATGTGGGACTCGGCCTCAGGATGAACGGAGAAGCAGTGCCTCGATGCGCACCCGGGATCCGAACCCGAGCCACCAGCATCGCAGCGCGCGCACTTAACCACCAAGCCACAGGGCCGGCCCAGAACAAAATTAAATATTTAAGGAAATCAGTTCAGTGGTAAGGGAAAAATTGTGGTAGGAAAAATAGGATGAAGCTGCAGGTAAGGTTAATATCCCAATACAAGCCACAGGTCCTACACTTTGATACAGATGGGGTGTCAAATCAGCCCCTGAGCTACCAAGCAGCCATCACAAAATAGGAAACAGCTGGTTAAATGATTTACTTTTCCTGAGAAAAGAAAACAACTCAGTTGGTTGGAAGAATCATAGCCATTCTGGACACTGAGACCCAGGGGAAATTTCTCCTGAGGGTCCTCATAAAGTGGAGAATAGTGTGATATAATGAACCATGTTCTCAACAACATCTCTACAGTAAATAGAGTAATGAGCTTCATGGGGCTAAGTGGCACAGTTTAGTCACAGCAATTACACAAGGGACCCACCTCTAATAAAAAGCAACTAATGTGTCATAGCAAAATGCTGAATATTTAAAAACACATTTCATCTTTTCAAAGCTCAGGGAAAAATGAATCTGTATTGGCCAAAGCAAACCCTTTGAGAGTATATTTAAATGTATTAAATCCCTTGATAAAAACTTACTATCAGAGTATCCTTCAATAGGAGTTTTACTGAATTAAACCATCTTTAAAAAAACCAGTAGGTCAGCTTTGGCACGCCCACATGCTAAATGTGAAGGGACATAGGCAGTAATTATATGTATGATACATTTACATATATACTTATACATATTTTATCTATACATATATTTATAATCTTTTTAAAAGTACAAACTTCGCACCCCACTGTGAGGAGATATGTTCAAAGTGGCTTACCAGTAGCCACGATGGAGCTAACCAAACCCTCTTTCTGTAGGCAGTTAGCAATTGGTGCTAACTGTGGGGAGAGCAGCTCTGCCGTGATCCTAATCCTTCTCAACCAAGGTGGTGTGTGGCGCCCCACCCTATCCCACCCAGACTTTGCCATTGTGTGGGGCCATTTAGTGCCCCAGGACCAGGGATGCTGAGCGTCCTACAACGCAGCCCTATACCAAGACTTGTCCTGAGCAAGTTGAGAAATACTGTGACACCACGCATAACTACATCAACGGGTCAAGTCACAAATATAGAGACTGAGGGTTGTTTAAAAGTGACAGCTTGGGGCTGGCCCCCTAGCCTGGTGGTTAAGTTGGCAGCCACGGTTCAGGACTTCTATCCTGCATGCCGACGTACACCATCCATTAGCCAGGCTATGGCAGCGCCCACATACAAAACAGAGAAGACTGGCAGGGATGTTAGCTCAGATCCAATCTTCCTCAAGCTATAAAAAGAGGAAGATTGGCAACAGATGTTAGCTTAGGGCGAGTCTTCCTCACCAAAGAAAAAAAAGTGACAGCTTAATAATTCTCCCCAAATCTCTCCTTTAAAGAACTATTTGTCAAAAAACTAACAAATTTTACACCCCCCACGCCAAACTGTGAACGTCCATTTACCCACTACCACAGGTGTAACGTTTGAGCGGGAAAACGGCACCTTTGGCCGAGGCTGCGAGAGTGGGGGCTTCCGAGCCACCGAACGTAACCGAGGCACACCACCCACTCCCTAAAGACCTACGCCGGGGTCTGTGGGCCCCCTTGGGGCCGTGCTTGGTTTACCGTTTGGCTTTTTGGCGGAGAGGGCAGTGAAATGTGGGAGAGCCGGCGGCCCGATCCCGCGTCGACTATTTCTGGAGAGGCAGGCGGGTCCCTGCTGGCCCCGGCCCCTGAGCTCCGCCACCCTGGCGCTAGCCCGCTGTTACCACACCCGCCCGTGGGAGCCGGCCCCTCCCCACAGCCCTCCCACTTCGGGGGCCCTCCGCCTTCCCCGACACTTGAGGAACCGTTCACGGATCCCAAGGCGCGAGACGCCCCGAGGGCTCAACTGCCTCCCGGGCCGCAGGGGCGGGCCGTTTCTCCAGACTCGCCCCACCTTCTCTTCCCGGCTACGACGTTCCTCGACGCCCCCTTGCCGGCGGCTCCTGGAGGAGGCGGCGCTTCCAGCGAGGCCCTTTATACCCCTGGGGACGTCAGGGCGTGCGTCACAAAGCCCCGCCCCGTCACTGAAGGCTCTGGTCGGCCACGGAAGGAGGCGGGGCTTCGGCCGTCCCAGCCAATGGGGAGCCGAAAGGGACAAAGGCCGAAACTCCGCGGGCCACGGAGTCGTGCTTCGCCTTTTCTGACACAATACGGACGGGCGGAGGGAACCTGGCGATGACAGGCGGCCAGGAGTCCATGAGTAGGTCAAGGCGACGGCATCTCCGCTTTTGGTCGCTCAGTCTAGAGTAATAGCTGGTTTGGAAGGAAACAGAAATAGATTTATGGCAGTTCTTTCTTGCCGTCACCGCCTCGCCTCTTCCCACTACCCTTCCCCCCGTAATCTGTTACTCTCGAGTCACCTTTTCCAAGAGTAATTTCTGCTTCGATGTACGCACAAACAGTAGTATAAAGAGAATGAATAATTTTATGCTGCAACACGGTACTTTTCCTCTTGAGAAATTCGCCTGTGGAAAGAGAATTGGGCATTAATCCTGAAGCTTCCTGTTTCTCCGTAATTCGAATCGTGCAATACCTCAGGCACAACTATCCTCCCCAAACCACACGGTTAGCAACAGGTTGCAAGTCAACGACTACTGTGTGTAATTTCAGCTCAGTTTTACCAAAGTAAAGGAATGTAGAGTCATTTAAAATACCCACTCTCTGCTCCTTTGCACATTCAGGCTGACATATCTGTGCTGGGCATTAAATAACCCATAATCATAATTATCAGATTCCAAGCAGCCTTCATTGTAATCCATTTTCAAATGTTGAAAAAGCAGCAAGAACCACTGTAACGCAACCGTCAAATAACATCATCAGGGCATGTATCTGACAAACTTGTTTTTTTTTAAACTCAGAAAAAAATTAAGGTTTCCAGAGCACTTTGGAATAAGGGGTCACGTTGAAGCCCAGCCTACATCTATGCTGCACACAGCATTTTCTGGCGATATTAATTCATCCATTTAATAATTATTACTGAGTGCCCATTATGTGGCAGACAAGCTCCCTCTTCTCATGAAAATTACATTTTTAAAAAGGAGAAATGCTCTTAGACTCCGTGTGATGATAGGTCTGCAGATGGTCCATTTTTTTGTCCTTCGTCACTGCCCCTAGCCCCACTTTGGTAGTGTAAATAAAAATGAAATGAGGCTGTCATGATTTCCGATGGTTTGGTTTACAATATATTTACTATCAAAGGTGTAATGAAACTGAGCTACTAAAAACCCAAGTACAAACATCAGAGACCCCATTTATGGTGTCTTTTGGAATTAGAGACATTTATGCTTTGTGTAGCCTAACTAACCTTGGTGGGTCATCTCGAACACCTATTAGGTGTTAGGTACCATGCAGAATGTCTGTAACTCAGAAGGCAAGCCTTTATTCTTTCCACATTTCTTCAATTTCTGTTTGTGCAAGTCCCTCTGAAATGCAAATTGTTAGTGAAAACATTTAACCAAAACTTTTCAAACCACTATTTGCTGCTTTGATTTCTAGAACTCCTAGTGATTTGATGTGGTTTTACAATCTTCTCGTCCGTGTGTTCATCTCCCTTTCAGTCACTAGGGATCTAACTAAAATGCAAATCTACTTTGTCTCCATTGTAGATTTGTGATTGTAAGCCGCCCTCCCCCACACCATCTGCCCTCAAAACCTTCCTCTATAGAAGTCGACAGTTCTTGGTGTGACCTCTGCAAGATGACCTCTCATCTTACCACTTGGTCCCCATTTGACTCTCTAGAGACTAGGTCTGAACACACATGCTGTTTGTCACCTCTGTGCCTTAGCTCATCAGGTCCAAGGGCTGAGATGTCCTTCTAGCCATCATTTTCACCTAACTGTATCTTTCTTCTCCTTTGAAACTCAGCTCAGGAATCTCCTACTTTAGAAAGCCAACGAGTTAGAAGCATTTCTTCAGTGGCCCCAGGATACATACTTGACTGAGCATAACCTTGCTATATAATTCTGTTTGTGTCTGACTCTTCTCTCAGATTTACTAAATACTTACCAAAAGATGATAACCTAGGGCAATGTTTCTCTGATTTAGACCACCTACTTTAGAATCATCCTAGGAGCTTGTTAAAAATGCTTTCCAAAGCCCTACCTGGAACCTATTGAATCAGAATCTCAGAGTAGGGCTAATCTGTAAAACTAAAATGTGAGAACCACTGGCCTGTGGGAGGAGTGAGTGAGTGTAACACACAGCTCACCTGGGTTACAGTGGGTTCCTTCTATTTCATACCCAAGTCAACTAGAAGATCGAGCTCAGCCCCCTTGTAGTTTTCACAAGAAAGCCAATTACTCTGTGCACTGGGTGATTTCTGCACACTTCCCTGAAGAAGGGGCACATCGTTTATGGACCAACTGTCTGTTCTCTTGCTCCCCCGTCCTCTTCTCTTTCTGTATTTCCTCTGCCTAGTTTCTAAGTCTACTCCTCTAGCATTTATCTTCCTGGGATGATCTGGGCTTAACATTTTTTTTTTCTACAAAATATATCACCAACAGGATCCAAAAATATATAAGAAATACCAAACAGTACATCATGACTGTGTGAATGTATATCTTCATAGATAGAGAGCCATATCTGAATACCTGCCACCACAATTTGCTTAAAGAAGCCATCAACTAGGAAAGTTTACACAGCAAAGGAATATACAGACACACACACACACGTATATGTGTATGTGTATTTTAAAAATCAGATATATGTTGTCCTTTAATTTTAGTTGGCAGAAATATAAAAGTGCAAATTCTGTAAATAATTGACATACAATATGTGACAATAAATATTCTAATTTTCTGACATCTGACAGTAATAATACTTTACTCAGTCAAGTACTTAGCTATCATATGCTAAGATCAAAATGATACCTAACCTAATAAAAGTAAAATTTTAAATACATTAACCACAAAGGTGCATATTACATCACTATTAGACCATGCTTCCAAGTATGTCAAATCGTGTTCAGAGTACATAAAAATACATTAGCGATCTCTCTCATCATAGGCACAATCTAATACAAAAATATATTTGACACTTAATAAATTATAAGATCTATTTGAGAGCCTCCAAAATAGGAAAGGGGAAGGAGGGAGTGATGTGAACATAAAAAAGCACACATAGATGCAAATAATTCTGCTTATATGATTATTTTCTTCATCAGCGAGCGGTAAAGAGCAATTTACACCAAACTAAATTTCCAGGCAGATGACAGTAGTTTACAGGTTGGATAAGTCACAGCATAGAGGCCAGATAACTATTAGGAATTACTCAAGTCAAAAATGTACTCAGATTTCAGTCAATCTTATGGCACAGTGTACTCACACTGTGGTTTTGTTATTTTAAGAGTCTTTAGAATCATCGTCAACCCCTTCTCCATGCTCTACCACCACGTTAACACAGATAAAGCCTCAGGGGCTACCCTGCAACCAAACCTAGGAGGGACTTTATAAACAGACCTATTCTTTGACTATTAAAGAAAACCTACTGGACGATGTTGTAAAGTTGTCTATTCAGTTAAGTGAACTGAACACACACTTATTTGAAATCCTGAATTTTTCTGGAGAAATAAAAATAATTTTTTAAAGCAGTTAATGCAAGAACAATTTTTTAAAAAAAATTCTCAAGTACAGGGCTTTATGTAATCTTTGAATACTAATAGTTCAAACAATATTTGAACTGAAGATTAAAGTAAGCGTAAACTCTGAAGTAAGAACTTCATGATTCAGAATGTTCCACAATCATAACTGAGAAGTTTGCCACATATATTATAGTCAAGAAGACAACAAAATGGCAAGAGCCATGTTTTAAAGATTCATAACGTTCTTCTCTTCAGCCTTGATAAAACCAGGTATCCAATATTTTTAGACACCAATTTTTCTCTTTAGAAAGTATCTACTCGGCTTCTGGATCTACTCATTCACTGAATGTAGGATAGCAATCTCTTCTCTCTGGCTAGTATCTAAAATCCACGCAGGATTCACACCAGAAAGAAAATCAATATGAATAAACACTTTGGAAGTGAGGAAACATGAAGAGAGTTTAGCTAAAGTCAGTGAGGAGTAATCATTTCTTTCAAAGAAATTATCATTCCCTCAAAACCAGATTAAGTAGATTAAAGCTGCCAACATTCTAGCTGCTCCTCCCATGTTTTATTTTGAAAATAAACATTAAAGTATTAATGTTGCATAAGATCATGCTTCAGCTAAAAGGATATATAAATAAATGACACCCCAAGATGAAAGTCTTTAGCTCAAAATAAATTAAAAAAAAAAAATCTAACCTTAAGATTGAGCCAAGTTAGTCAAACAATTATGGCAGAAATTCTTAAATGACTGAGGTATTTAGATTCTTCAAAACCACAGGTGTGCAGTACAGGAAAAAGAGGTGAATTAAATGACAACAAAAATTAGCAACAAAGGATTAAAAACAACTTGGAACTCCTTTTATAATATTAAATAACCTGAGCTAACGGGAAAATGATTAAATCCTGGCAACAGATAGCCCAGCTAATCCTCACCAGCAAATATTTTGAGGCCAAAAAACCTATGTTCATTCAAGAATAACTTTTTCAAGTCATTTGTTAAAAGATTTCCAAAACTTGGTAATTAGACAATCTATCACAAAGAAAGGGAAACTCCTAAAATGTAGGTATTATTTATCTAGTCTATAGACTAGGCTTTCTAATAAATTATCAAAACAGTTATACTTTTGGTTGTAAAACTATCTTCTATTTGCTTTTACTTGGTTGGCTTTCAAAGGAAAAAAGTATTCGTCACTTTGTAGTGACAAATTTTGCAGACAATCTGGAGATAAATATTTTTGATGACACAACTTCCACTGAAGAGAATGTGTTTTTTAATAAAGAAAACATGGAATTCTGGGTTATTAACATATATTTTTTACAATAAAAGAATATTCGGTCCGTGGTCGGGAGATCTGCACTCTATTCATTGCTCCACTGATAACAGGAATAATTAACTGGGATAAGTCAATTAGCCTTTTTGTGCCTGAGTTTCACTGTCTGGACAATGGGGATAAGAATAGCTGTGCTACATTATTCACAGGAATAGTCTGAGGATAAAGTAAAACACTAGAAAGCACTTTTATTTTTTCAAAACACAATATAAATGCTATGTCATGATATTGTTAATAATTTTACAGGTACCTCTTAGTGTTTCTCAGTCAGACGTGTGCTTAAGATAGGCGTTCCTACAAGATCACAGGTTGAATATTTAGTTTGATTTTATTTTAAAAATAATAAATCACAAAACTAAAATGTTTGAACAAGGTCACTTAACCCTCTCCCCAGGTGGTTAGTTATTATTACTATTAACATCAGTATTATTACTTTTTAGCTATATGTTTAAAAGAGGAGATCTTTAATATGTCAGCCTAACTGGGAAAATGTGTCCCTGGCACAGGTGGTTTTCAGAAGAAAAGCCGATCTTCATAAGAGCTGTGTCCTCTGCTTTTATTTTAAAGTGCAGAACCTGGGTGGGGAGGGACAGAGCGGGAACTCCGAGTCTGTCACTGAGGAACCAATTCCTTCAGAGAGGCCAGAGCGGCATGGATGCGGACATGCAGTCTGTTTTCGAAGTCATAGCCAGAGAAATCCTCCTGAAAGACCAAAGGAAGATATTTATGGACTCTATTAGCTAAGCTTTCTGAAATACTGCAGTATATACCATGCTAAGTTTTGTACTTCCCAAAGTAAAATCCCTCACACTCCTACTAAAGGCTTCACATCCAATTGATTTTCTTATTCTCCAAACCTCAAACTTTGTGTTCATTATTTTTTTTTTTATTTTTTTGAGGAAGATTGGCCCTGCGCTAACATTTGTTGCCAATCTTCCTCTTTTTCTTTTTTCTCCCCAAAGCCCCAGTACATAGTTGTGTATCATAGTTGCAGAGTTGTAGCTCTTCTATGTGGGACACTGCCTCAGCATGGCTGGATGAGCGGTGAGTAGGTCCACGCCCAGGACCCAACCAAGTGAACCCCTGGCCGCGGAGGCGGAATGCTCGAACATAACGCTACGCCACTGGGTTGGCTCCATGTGTTCATTTTTAAAATGTCAACTGAGTGTCATTACTGCTGTCTTTGGAAAATTTTCCTCACGTTATTCCTGAAATGGCAGTCTTAAAGTAGTGCTTAATGTAAGCTGCTGTGAGAAATTCTTAATTCAAGAATGTAGTTATGAAATCAAAAGTTACCTTCCCACTCAAACGAGAAGAGTTTTTATAAAGCAGGATAAGCAATTTCATAGGCATTTCTTACGATATTGGTAATTTCACTTAAAAATCAAGTGCTCACTGATTCCATTAGTTATCACTTTTCCTTTCCGGAAATATCAGTCAGAACCATCATTTCACAAAATTTCTTGAATTCTGACTCAAGTACACTAGAAAGGCTAAGAAGGGCCACTGCAAAGAGGTAGAGTCAAGTATTTTTACCTTTGCTTGAAGAAGTAGAGTTCTGCCTCTTGCTACCGTCTATGAACGTAAGAAAAACATATTATCTCAATCTCTCTATGTATATACTCAAGTAGAAAATGTTACAATAGGAGGACATGTTAATTAAAACAATTCACAGTGGACATACAGGTGAGTCAACCGCTCATTCAAGTATAATGACTCAATTTTTCTTTAATATAATGATATTTAGAAGTTTACATCAAGGCATTACTTGATAAATAATTTTTCATACTCTTCACTATTATTCTACAAAGGATAACAACTTAAAAAAGTTATGATAGTTTAGGTTAAGATCTTACTAAACAACCTAAAATTGATAATAATTAAAAGGTTTATCCGAAGTCAGTAAGCTGTATCTCCTTTTGAAGGCATTCCTGATTGAGGACATCAGCTTCATTTTTCAAGAAATAGACCAGTCTTGTTATATTTTATATTTTAAGGCTGCATTAAGAGTAAAAATTTCCTTAAAATAAAGAACACAGTATTAGGAGTTCCTACCAAAATTGCCTTTTCTATTTTGGTAAAATTAGAATTTCAAATGAAAAGAGTTACCAATTAAAAGGCTATCTTTTGCAAGATAGGCTACATATTTAATGGTTAGATTAGAATCATATTTCTGTGGATTTAGCTCAACTTTTAGGAAGTTCACATATTTGAAAGCTGAGTTGAGCTTACTGAAAATGAGAATTTTTATAAAGCCAATATTATGTAATTAAGCTTCTAAAAGAAGGCACCAAGCAAATCCCGCACTAATGAAATCCTATTAAAAAAAACACAGACACACAAAACTGCCCCCATTGTACTTAAATATACATCTTAATAGTAACTGTCAACTTAAATTTATATGGTATTATAAAATTTTAAAAGTAATGATACACATCATCCTCATTTATTCTCACTACAGTCTTTGTTAAATTGGCAAGGTGGGTATTTTTATCCTGTTTTACATATTAGGAAGAAGGTATGTGGTTAGGTAACTTAACCAGTACCATAAACTAAAGTAAATGGCAGAGCTACAATCACAATGTACTTCTCTGTTCTTCTGAACAAACCACACTACATCATACCATACCATTCTAAAAAAAGGCAATGATTTTCCCTCAACTGCATTTTTGTACAAAAAGTTACTTTATAATTCTAATTCCAGAGAAGAAATCACCTTCTTAAACACAGGAAGACAGGATTAGTAGCTTCTTGGACTCGTCCTCGGTGAAATTTAGGAAAACAAAACAAAAAAACACTATGTTCAATTAATTTATTTTAAATGAAGGATGCTTTGTGCCTGCTCATTGCATATTTTTCTTGATGAACATTATTTAAGAAAATATATAAGATCTTACCTCTGGTTTGTCTAATAGAAGACAGCCAAGTTCATAGCAAGCATATGGCTGAACATATAAGTTATTCTGACGACACAGCTCATCTTTAACGGCTCGGTGAAAGTACTGAAAGTAATACAAGTATTATTGGAGTTGATTCATTTCCCTACTTAGGCTCATTTTCCTACTTAAGTCTCATCACATCTTCAGGAGGCAGGAAGAGGGACTGATTTCTGTAGTCTATATCCGATTTTCTTTTCTTTTTTGCATCTTTATTCCTTCCCGTCCATCCTCAACTGTTATCTTAGAAGTCCTTTACATTCTTGTCTAGAGAGCTTCCACCAGAATATGCATCAGTCAGTTCAACGTGTGCCACTTATTTTTCCAACTGACACACTACTGATTTTATTGCTGACATCTTCAACTGCAGCTCAAAGTCTGAACATTCCATTTTATCATTTAAAACAGAACGCAAGCACACAAGCCACAAATCATCTCTTGACATGTGTCTTGACTGTATCTTGCTGATACTTAAGCATACGATCTAAAACAAGCTATTCATAGCTGTGTAATAACTACTACAACCCCACAATGAAAAATCAATTTAAAATGATAATACCAGTGCATCAACACTGTAGGAATTAAAAGCCAAAGTCTCCTATTACTGTACATGAACTCTTTCAAAGAATAATCAGAGTAACCTCGGGATATACTTCAAAAAAACAACCAAACAAAAAACTTGGTTAGAAAAATCCCTTCAACTATATTTGAAAATAATGTATCATTCTTTCTCATATAATATGTACATAGAATATCCTAAGCAACAACTTTCTAGACCTCACCTCCAGTACTGCATCAGTAATCTGCAGTTAGAGAGAGAGAAAAGTGAACACACTCTGACACGCCTGATCAGTTTTGTATTTATCTAACTGTGAGGCTTCACTCTGCTCCTTGAAAATTGTCTGCGTCCTCATCTCCTCCTCCTCCAATTGAGACTGTCATCAGAAAAGAAGCCGTATGTCCAGAAGTACTCTAAGAATCTGAAGTTACATTAAAAACCTCTAGCATCTGAGAAGATGACATGAATAAATAAAGTAGATAAAGGTCACATTGCGGTGGGAGGTCTGGTTTTGTTTACCGCTTGTTCATTTTTCTTGTTCACAAGCACATATGTAGGTTTTCACGGTTTATCTTCCTTAGCCATGACAACAACATTTAACAGTTTACCTGAACAGCGTCTTCTGAGTTTCCTAGACATTTGTGTATGGCACCAAGAAGCAAATACTTTAATCCAACGACAGATGAATCATCCACTGCATGGCAAGCTTAAAGAGAAGGAAAATAGCAGGAAGGAAATACATTCACTTAATTCCTTAAATATCATCAAGAGTTAAGAATTTCATTGTTTAGTGACATATTCAGTTCATGATTCTGCCCCCTGAAACTCAGAAGGTTCCTCATCCTCACCCATCGGTGAATATCCTTAGTCAAAGAAAGGCAAAGATATCAAACTTCACGGCGCCAAGACGACTCAGAAATGCACCGTATTGCTACTAAGTGAAAGAAGCCAATCTGAAAGATAGGGTATGATTCCAACTACATGACATTCTGGAAAAGACAAAACTACAGAGGCAATAAAAAAGATCCATGATTGCCAGAGGCCTAGGTGGGAGGGAAGGACGAGCAGGTGGAGCTCAGAGGATTTTTCAGGGCAGTGAAACTATTCTGTATGATACTATCTGTAAGAGTGGATTCATGTCATTGTACATTTGTCAAACCCCAGAGAATGCACAAGACAGCATGAACTCTAATGTAAACTATGGACTTTGGGTGATGATGTGTCAGCGTTGGTTCATCAGTTGTAACAAATGTTACTGATATAACAAATCCCACTGATGAGGGACGCTGATGGGTGGGGGGTGTGTGTGAGGGGTGAGGGGGTGTATGTGGAAACCTCTCTCTACTTTCTGCTCAATTTTTCTGTGAATCTAAAACTGTTCTAACAAACAAAGTCTATTAATATCATTTTAATTGCATCATATTAATTTAAAAAACCAGGCAATAGGCACCTTTACAAGTTTATATGAGGTACTGTACTAGTCACTGGGAGGGGATCAACCTGACCCCTCCACTTCAAGAAGCTGCTCTCTGCTGCGGAGGATGGGCACCCATGTTGGACGATGCTATGGAAATTTTTCAGGGAAATGAAAAAGGCCGAAATTGGAAACGTAGTGGAGCTAATAGAAAAAGAAGTAATTATTTCTATGGACCAATAAACATACTGATATTTGATAAGATTTTATAAATAGATACATATGTATATAAACATACACATATATCAATGTATGTATATGTATGTACGTACGTGTGTATATATTTACATATGTAAATGCTCAAAGTTCCAGAACAAATAATTGGAAGCAACTGGAAGAGACGGGTAGAGCAGCAAGGAGATAAATGTGAAGAATAGTCTGAATCTGTAACGATGCTAAGGTAGCAGTGTTGAGGAAAGGGGGATGCAGTTCATTTACTCTCTCATTCATTCCATATTTATTGAGCACCTATCTGAAAGATAGGGTATGATTCCAACTATATGACATTCTGGAAAAGACAAAACTGTGCCAGGCAGATCTAGGTGCCTAGAATACAGCAGTGACAAAACAGAAAAAATCCCAGCCCTTAAGAAACTAACATTTTGTGGAGGAAACAGATAACACACAAGACCAGTAGGCAAAATATGTATGTTAAAGAAGTGTAAATGCTAAGGGAAAAAATAAAGCCAGGAAGGGGAATGGGGGTTTGTATGTGTGTTGGGAATGTACAGTTTAAGCCTCAATGAAAAGCTGGCATTTGAGTAAAGACCTGAAGGAGATGAGAGAGGAAGCCGTGTAGATGTCTGGGGGAAGAGCATTTGCAGGCAGAGAGAAGAGCAAGTGCAAAGGCATCAAGGCCAGCACACGCCTGGTGTGTTCAAGAACAGTAAGGAGGAGCGTGGCTGGAGCCTGGTGAGCGAGGGGGAAGAGCAGTGAGAGGCAAGGGCATTGCAGGGAGAGGGGCTGTACAGATGGTACTGGAGGCCACTGAACAGACTTGAGCTTTTACTTGAATGAGATGAGACCATAGAGGGTTCTGAGAAGCAAAATGTCATGATATCACTTAGGTTTTAATAGGATCACTCTGGCTGCTGTGCTGAGAATACACAGAAACATCTTTAAAACGTGGAGGAAGAAGGCAGTGGAGAGGGGAGGGTGGGTGGAAGGAGGGCTATGAATGAAACCACAAGACAAAGATACAAGAATCCAACTAGCTCTGCTGATGAAGGAGGTACAGATGGGGACTCCAATGAGCTGAGTGCACAAAGCTACGTGGGCCCAACAGAAAGAGTTTAAGAAATGCATCACTGTTACTCGCTATCGGTTTTTTCTGGAACTTAACTATTTCTCCACAAAAATCTTCAGTGTTCTCTAATGGTTGAATTGATTTGGATCATTACTGCTTACTGCTGGGCAATGATATAATCTAATTAATTGACCTCAAAACTGAGTTAACTTTTAACAAAGATATTAAAGAATTATCTCATGTTTACTCCAGAGCCTGCCTCCCCCTCCATGACCACATCTTTGTTGTTAGTTTATTTTGACACCCGGAAAGGAGTTAAGAGAATATTTAGTCACATTAAGTGATAATTTTTCCTGTGCCTGCCAATTACTGCCTCTTTCATATTTGCATTTGTGTTTTAATTATCTGTAAACAGGTGATCCTGCGCTTGTGCATTAAAAAGAATAAATTTGTTATTTTTCCTTTGAGTTAGACATCGGTAGATATTCCAGACTTGCATTCACAACAAGGGATGGGTTTTAAATTTTGTTTACCCTTGTTAAATGAACACAGCAGGACTTGTGCATCCAAGAAAATTCTGTTCCCTTTTAAGGAGGTCCCTTAGGAGGGTTACGCACCTCCTCTAATTACAGGGCCTCTGTGCACAACCTCCTTTATTTATTTATTTATTTATTTATTTAGTGAGGAAGATCAGCCCTGAGCTAACATCTACCAATCCTCCTCTTTCTGCTGAAGAAGACTGGCCCTGGGCCAACATCCATGCCCATCTTCCTCCACTTTATATGGGACACCACCACAGCATGGCTTGCCAAGTGGTGCGTCAGTGCACGCCTGGGATCCAAACCGGCGAACCCCAGGCCCCCGCAGCGGAGCACACGCACTTAACAGCTTGCGCCACCGGGCCGGCCCCACAACCTCTTTTAGAGTTGCTTCTAGAGTTGCGTTACCTTGACCTCTGGAATGTTAACACTGACAAAAGTTTTGACCTTTGAGGGCAGACCCTTTTTTTTTGAAATAAGCAAAAGGCATCTGCAGGGAAGTCTGATGATAAAAGTACATGATTCAATAGATAATGCTGTATTTGGTCCAAAACAAGTATGATTATAGAGAAATCTGACAAATTTTCTACAATGACTAACAAACCATTTTTGAATAAGTCCAAAATATTAATACTAAATCTCTCTTGAAAAACGGCAGCATATATGTGAATAAGAACACACTTCCAAAGATAGTTACCTTCTATAAAACCATCTTTTTGGATGCACGTGTTCTCATTTTAACATAGCAGTCTCGGCTTGTGATCGTACTTCTAGCTGCGTGATTTCAGCACCTTCACGCTCCGGGAAGAGGAAGCGTGTGTGGAGGAGCTTACAGCTTTGCTACACCTCGTGTTGTCCTCAGACCAGCAGCATCGACACTCGCTCCTACGGGAGCTGGGCAAGCCACCTCACTGCTCTGAGTCTCGGTTTCTTCATTATAAAATGGGTATGACGACACGTGTTGTCTGCCTTTCCTGCTTCCCTAGCTTGCAACATCGAGCAAACTACATAATTTGCCAGACTATAAACTGTCATTCAAATGTCCACCATTAAACCTTTAGAAGAAATGTTACAGTCTTCCTTTAATAATCAATAAAGCTTTATTTTACTGAAAGATTTAGTTTATTCTCCTGTGAACTTTTCCTACAACCATAATGAGAATTACTTTAGGAAGGTGATATTACCATAATTTTATGGTTTTTTAAATATATGAATCAAAAATGTAGGCTTCTAATTACACTCCTAGGTATTTACTAAGAAATGAGCATATAACGTCCACACGAAGGACTAGTCCACTTAGGTTGTACACTTGTGTTTATAGCAGCTTTACTCATGATAGCTAAAAACCCAGAAACAAATCAAATATCCAGTAACAGGAGAATGAATAAACAACGGTGGAATAGGTATAGCCAAGCAATGGAGTACCACGCAGCAAGAAAAAGGAATAAACTGATGACACGGCTCCAACATGGGTCACTCTGACAGACGCTCGGCTGAACAAATGCAGCCAAGCACTAAAAATCCACACTGTCTGATTGCACTTATATGAAGTTCAAGGACAGGCAAAGTAATCCCTGGAGAGAGAAATCAGAACAGTGGTTGCCTTGGGGTGGGGACTAACTGGGAAGGCGCACAAGGGAAGTTTTAGGGGTGGTGGAAATGTTCTATTCTTGATTGTGGTGGTGGACGCCACGGTGTATCTATTTGTCAAAACTCACTGAACCATACACTTAATATCTGTGCATTTTAATGAACGTGAATCAAACCTAAATGAAACAAAGGACTTTCACTGGGAAAAATGTGTGCTTCCAGCAACCCCCGTGGCTAGAGAATTAATAATATCTACATGCAATGCGTCACCGTACACTGCAACAACGCTCGTCTGTACATCCCAGGACTTCCTACTCCCGTCACCTAAGAGACTGAATTTCTAATCTCCGCATCATTCATCTGAGAACGGCAGATGTGCACTCTCTGCATCAGATAACATTAATGAGAGACTGAAGGAACAAGTTGATGTGTACAGTTTCATTTTTCACCTTGACTCATCCTCTGGAGGTTGGGGAAGGAGCAGTTGGGAAGGGCTTTCCACAGGTACAGCACCTCGATGGACGCCAGCACGCAGAGCCCTATGGTCGGGGGCTGTTTCCGAAACCTCTCCGCCTGCAAGTGGTTAGAAGAATTAGGCTACATTTTTTGAAAACAAGGCTACATTTTTTGAAAACAAATTCAAATTTTAAAATACACTTGAGACATTTAAAAGTGCACAATTTATATTCGACATGAACTGCCCCCTCCTACAAAGCTAAAAATGAAAATTTCTCTCTCCATAAAAAATTTTTGCTTTCCAATTTTTAATATATTGGTAGATATGCCTTTCATTCATTATTTAACTCACCTACCATCAAGATCCAGGGTATATTTTGAAAACTTGCAGACAAAACTAGATTCATTTCAGTTCAAATCAAAAGAATGTATAAAAGCTGGATGACTCAATGTGTTTATATAGAGGATGTAATACTAGATGACTTTTAGTTACGGTTTCATTGAATTTTAAGTTTTTACTCACTCCCAGTGTTCTCAGTAGCATTCCACATCACAATCTAGTTTACACTAAAACTAAATCATTAAATGTTCATTCAATAAAACTAAACTTTCATTTATAAAACTAAAATCATGGAAAATTCACGATATGACAAGTTGTTACATAATCCATGGTAATTCAGCTAAATTTTATTCTTAAAACTATAGAATAAATAGGGACATAGGCCCAGGACTGTAGGGACATTCTGCTGGTGAATGTGATACACACTTTTGTTTTTTATTAGGTCAAAATGTGACGTGTTCACGATATTGAGAACCAACAGTCTGTATCTCTTGCCTAGGTTCTGCCATTTGTATTCTTCTGAAACTAATTCTTTAGAAAGATGCTTTCCCTCTCCAGATACGCTCATTAGCTCTACAGGGTCTGTAGTGTCTCTACTTATTCAAAAAAACAACAACTGCTTTAATCCTTTGCAGCAAAATAAGCACTTTCCATTCAGAGCAGCAGTATGACCATGGAATAAATTCTTTCCGCAGTGGTGAACTGCATTTGCACGACAAGTAAGTCATCAGCTGTGAATGTGATTTCCTAAAACCTGTCTAAGGTAGTGTTGGTTACAATTGCGCATCATAAATAATACACCAGGTCAATAGGCTCCAACATACCTTTTTCACTGAGAACTGTTCGATCTGATTGTTTTTCCTCTTGAAGAGTTTCTGAACTTCTTTAAAGACAATCTGTGCCCCATCCACATCACCAGTGGCTCCCTGACAAACTGTAAGAAACCATCATTGTATTTCTTAAGTATTAGGGGAAAAATACCACTAACGGCTACCTAGGTTGATGGTACTTGGAAAATGTTACCAACGGAAAAACGGAAGCAAATATTTTTAAAGACTGTTACACAAACAACTACACCATCCTGCTGATCATCAGTCCATTTATTCAACAACTATTTCCTAGGTGCTGGGTCCCCAGAGCTTTGGAGAGACAAATGGGAAAGCTGTGGTCCTAATCTTGTTGGAGAGACGGTCTTGTACACAACAAAATCCCCAGCTACTGTCCCAGTGTACAATCTAGTTGGAGCCCACATGCTCAGAAAGTGGAATAAAAAGAAATCTAGGAAAGAACAATGAGGAGCCAAGAGGATCGTGAAAGCTTCATGGCAGAAGGAGGACATTTTGGTGCCTAGAAAGACAGTCATGAATTAGTCCTACACATGTTCATTGGCCACCTACCACCGATGAGCCACCAGCAAGAATGTGAAGACACATGCCTGCACCCTGAAGAAACATAAATTTCAGCTGGAGAGAGAAGACACAGGCACAGTCCCATAGCTACAATGCACAGTGATAAGAGCCTTTAGAGGTGGAGAACCAAAGTGCCTTTGGAAAAGCTCAGAAAGAGAAGGGACCATTTCTCTTTGGAGAGATCAAGGAAGCTTTGAGGAGCTAGGAGTCGAGCTGAGCCTTGGAGGATGGTAAGACTTTGACGGTCTGCACACCATCTTCATCCCACCCCAAGCCCCGGGCAAAGACTCAATCCCACTCCCTTTGTTTTCGCCTGCTCTCTCCCTGCTCCAAACAGCACACCAGCTTCAGTCCCACCTCCTTGATGAAACTTTACCAACCACTCTTTGGCATCCTCTTCCCAACGCCTGTGGCACTGAATTCATTTCTGTTAATTTTTTGGGTAGATGTTATCTTCATTAGATGTTTGTCTTTGTTAGATGTTTTTCAATCCCAAATTGGAATGTCCGTTGATTTGCTGGTTCCTCCTTCTTCATTCAAGCACCCCTAAAACCAGGTGGTCCTGTACTGACAATTTTGGGCTTCGTCAAGCAGAGCACAGGGCCACGGCATGTCAGAGGCCGGGCTGCTATTGGCAGGACCAAAGAAGCAGAAGCAGCGAGGCCTGGAGAAAGCTGAGGACGTCGAGGTGACGGGAAAGGCAGAAGACTTCTACTGGGAGTCCGAGGGATTAGGCTGAATATTCAGAGGGAGGGACAACCCTGTACCCAGTTGCAGGAGCAGCCCTCATCCAGACGTGGGGGTCTGAACCCATCCAAAATGACCTCATCAGTCGCAGCTACAACATTTCATAACCAGGAGGAAGCTCGATGACTGTTCTGTAAACCAACCCCATCATGTTATAGGTCAGAGGATACAGAGGTCCAGGAAAGTTAAAAGACTGGCCTAAGGTCACACAGTAAACCAATGAAAAAGAAAATTCCTGCTGCCCCTAGCTCAAGGTCTTCCTCAGATAATTGATAACATTCTTATAGAGTCACGTAATTTAAAAAAAAGAGTAAGTGTGCAAGCAAGAATGAGAGAGTGTGCACACAAGCCCTCGAAGGTGAGTCATAAACAGCAACAGATTCAGTATCTGACCCACCTTTGAAGCTCTACAGCACTAATGCCTCAGATCCTGAAGAATAAACACCTCCTACTCCTCTTAAGGTACAGTTACAGACAGTTGCTTGAAAAGATGCAGATGTTTGAAAGCATGAGCATCTCTGATTTATCTGAAATCGGAGACCTAAACAGAACTTAGAATGCTTGGCTCTTCCATTAAGACTAACATACCACACCAGAAGTGATATTCTAATCTTTTTTGGTAACTTTTAATTTTTATATAATTTCAAACTTACTGAAAAGTTGCAAGACTAGTACAAGGATTCAGCAATTCCACTTCTGGGTACACACCCAAAGGAATGTACTCATGTTCACTGCAGCATTATTCACAGTAGCCAAAAGGTAGAAGCAACCCACGTGTCCACTGACAGATAAATGGATAAACAAAATGTAGTATATACACACGATGGAATATTATTCAGCCTTAAAAATGAATGAATTTCTGATACCTGATGATCCTTGAAGACACTATGGTAAGTGAAATAAGCCAGACACAAAACACAAATATTGTAAGATTCCACTTATACAAGGTACCTAAATAGTCAAATTCATAGACACAGAAAGTAGAATGGTGGTTGGCAGGGGCTGTGGAGAGCAGGGAATGGAGAGTTACTGTTTAATGGGTACAGAGCTTCAGTTCCAGATGATAAAGTTCTGGAGATGGATGGTGGTGATGGCTGCCTAACAATATGAATGCACTTAAGGCCACTGACCTTACACTTAAAAATAGCTACAATGGTAGATTTTGTTAAGTATATTTTACCACAATTTAAAAAATACTGCAAGGAACTAAGCTCCTGGTGGCACTGTTGCTGGTCCCTGAGTGTCCATCCTCTCCAGCTCTGCCTGTCCACATGGGCCTGTCCTTCAGGGCCAAGTCAGATGGCAGCTTCTGCAAGATGCCTCCTCTGAGAGCTTGACAGAAGTGGTCCTTCCCTTTCCCCTGCGCTCTCTGTGGTGGAGCTATTCATATGTGTCTTATCATCTGCACAAAATCCCCTTGCAGAGGCAGAGACTAGAGTCTTTCATCCTTTATCATCTACAACTGGTATTTCCCGGGATTTCTAATACTGCGGAATAAATGCTCCTCTATATAGCCACATTGTGCATTTATTTCTTCATGTTCTATGCCCAACAAAGATAAGAAAGGAAATAGCTGCCCACAATGACCACGTGACCCAGTTACACCTTACTGATCCTCAGGCTGTCATGCAGGCCTCTCTTTTTTGGTTCATTCGCCCTCAGTGTGTTGGGCACACCCAGGTCAATCAATAAACAGCTGCTACTTTCATCTGAGATGCCCGCGAATTCTACAAAAGAACTCTTGACGTGTGGGACACGGTGTACTAACCAGATATTGAAAATAATCCTATTCAAACATCAGCTACAGAGCCATACGAAAAGGGATGCCCTGCGGGGACTGTAGTAAGGTGTGTGGGTATAAGAGGATTTCATACTGATTGCTAATGGACTGCAGTTTTAGAACATCCAGGATATACATACTGGCCACTGTTAATTCTATCTTATTTTAAATAGTTCAGTTAAGAGGATGCAACGACAGAAGACGTTTCATTAAATCCAAGTACTCAGAGAAATAAGGAGATATTTAAAATAATGTTTGGATTAGTCTTAAATTTTAAGTAAAAGAATCACTTATATAGCTGCATAAGGACAATTCATTGTTAGAGGCAGAAAATGTGCGACCACCACTTGGGTCTCTTCAATTCCCACTTGTACAATTCTACATCACCACCGCACTTCATGTAGCTCAGCCACAGACAATCCTTTTGTCCACCAGGTGGCAGCACATCTTTAACTATCTCTGCATGCAAAGGCAAAAAGGCAAGGAACCCTTATATTTATATCAGAAATTACAGGTGTTTCTGCTATAACGATATGCAGTGTTCAAACAGCTCGTGTTCTGCAAAATCACACTGTAAATTTAACAGTTAATAGGTAAAACAGGTTAGAGTCGACTACTCAAATTCTGTGCAACTTTGCAGCCAAAGCACTAACAACCCAAACAAAAATACTAACACAATTAAAGAGACACGTCACCATCTTAAAAATTCTTTACATTCCTAATAAATAAAAAATATATCATAGAAACTAAAGGAGAGAGGTAAGGGTAGACTGAGGCTACTTAGGGCAAAATGCACAACAAGCATTTCCAAGACACAGCATGTGACCAAACCAGCCCAGAGCAGGAGTGTAGAGGAGAGGCATGGTGCACAGGACTGAAGTGACCAAGCTCAGCGGGGTCAGTGAACCCTGTATTCAGCTGCTATTTACTTGGTAGCACAAAATATTAACATGCTGGGGAAAACTGAGAAAGAACTCAACTTCTGCATCCTCCTGCCATCATTCTCCCATCTGCCAACACATGTGACCTAACTCAGGCTAGAAGAGGTCTACTCACCCGCAGTTAAATAGGCATAATAGCACTGGGACCACCTGGACTCATTTTTTAGCCTCTCAAAGGAATCAAATGCATCCTTGAAATTCAGCTCTATCATGCTGCACCAACCTACGAAAGAAATATTTTTAGTGTACAACCCTAAAGCAGTGAGCTTCATATCCCATCTTTAAGCTACGAATCTCTGATACTATCTTTCTCTGTGAGTGTTGTATGTGTACTACCTGAAAACTTAAAAAATGATCTTTTTTCTCTTAAATATTTTAAATGTGACATTTTGAGTAAGACAAGGAACTTCTGATTTCACAACCAATTAAGCAGTATAGAAGAAAGTGGTGTACAGATTCCTATGAAAACACTCCAATTTGTCTCCTACAGTTGTCAGACTAAGCCAAGCACAAAGTAGGCCTAGGCACAGAAAAATAATACCATTAGATTATATGTACAGTGACCACCTCAAAAAGTCTTAAAGCACTCACCTACTCCTAATGATTACTACCAATTCTCAAATTGTTGTGAGAAGTAGAGATCAAGCCAGTCAGAAATTAAGTACTTGCCCACCCTCCCTCTACAGGTTGGTAGAGGAGCTGAGAAAGAAGCCCATCTCTCGTGGATCAAAATCCCGTTAGACTGGCATTCTGGTAAGAAGTGGTAACAACAAACATGCAGGGACTTTATCCCCATGGTTATAACAGCATCTCCCACGGACTGAGGCCCTCTATGTGCCAAGACCCAGGCCAGGCACTTGATGTAATGCTCTCTAATCTGGCTGCAGCCTCGCAAATGTGGCTGATGGTGTCCTCACTTCACCAAGGAGAAAACCTAGGGCATGAGGAGGTTATGTGACTTGGCCAAGGCCATACAGCCAGAGAACAAAGAACTGAGGACTGAAGGCTGCCACTCTGTCCTGTCCACAATATCGCCTCCATAAAAAACAATTCTGGGGGGCTGGCCTGGTGTTGTAGCAGTTAAGTTTGTGCGCTCTGCTTTGGCGGCCTGGGGTTTGCAGGTTTGGATCCCGGGCGTGGACCTACACACCGCTTATCAAAGCCATGCTGTGGCAGCGTCCCACATAAAGTAGAGGAAGATGGGCACGGATGTTAGCCCAGGGCCAATATTCCTCAAAACAAAAACAAAAAACAAAAAAAACAATTCTGGTATCAGGTGCAACAGGAAGTAGTTGTGTCATCTTGGGCCTGCCATTAGAACTACAGGGATGAGGGGATCCACACTTCCAAGAAACTCAGTGTCAAATTCTATGGGATATGATACGAATTGGACATATTTTAGAGTAAAAATTAGAGCTAATAATTTCCATCCCATAACAGCTATCAAGGTAAGATTGAATTAAATGCAAAATAAAGGTGGGAGGTAGCAATGAACCTGAATAAGAAGCCTGAATTCTGATTTTGCTACTTTTTTCCCCAAGTTAACCTTCCTAAGGCCTTAGTGTTGGATTCAATGATTTCTAAGCTTCCTTCAGGTCTAATCAACATGGAAATGGTGCACAAAAAAAAGGCCACCATAATCATTTCACAATATATACATCTATCAAATCATTGTGTTGTCCACCTTAAACTAATACCACGTTATATGTCAACTATAGCTCAATAAAAGTGGAAGAAAAAACAAAGATAACAGTGTCTTAAGAGAAAAAAAAGGCCACCAAAGCTAGGCCTTTTAATTCAAGATCTTTGAAACACATTCCATTCTACCTTATGGCTACTAAACAGATTACATAAAAATACATTTTCCACTGGATTATACCTCATCTTCTCTCCTTAAACCATAACAGGCATTTAAAACATAATATTGTTTATTGGGCAGATCCTAATATTTTAGTTTGCACTTTTGTTTAGAAAGGTTCAGGAAGACAATTATGTCCACAGCAGGCGAAGCTAGGAGCAGGCATGGCAGGGTCCCGACCTGACAGGTGTCAGCCACCTCCCCAGCACTCTCCACTTCTCCCATCTCTCTGCCGATGGCTTTTTCAGTCCCAGTTTCCTTTCTGATCCCCGTCAGTACCTCATCATGTCTTCTTTCTCTACTCCTTCATTTCTTTTCTATGTGCTATATAACATGACCTTGTAGCATTAGACTGAAACTCTAAAAAGTATGAACCACTTATTAAAATTTCTTGTTGCTGTTCCGAGCCCAAATTTTTGTTTATGCTTTTCAGTGTAATGGAGCAACTGTTACATAAAAGGATTATTAATCCTTTTATGTAATTACTAATGTAATTACTAATGTAACAGGACAGGAGAATTTTAGTGCAGTCAGCAAAAAACTGACAGCAACAACTCTAGGGAAAATCTTAGGCAAATAAATGCTTCCAAGTCTCTTTATAACTTCATCTCCAGGAAGGAGAAGCAGAAGGAAGCCACGAGCACATGGGGAGGGCCTTCTGTGAGCCAGGTGCTCTGCCTGATGCTCGTCGAGTGATTCCATCTAAACCTCACGACAGCTAAGAGGGGAGGTGCTGGAACTCCCATGGCAACTATGAGGGCGAACGTAGCGACTCGTCCCAGGTCCCCGAGCTAGCAGGTCAAGAGCTGGGGTTCCAATCCACGGGCCCAACTCCCTCCTACGCCGTGTTTTTCTTCTCAGGTTAACACTGCTGGGAGGGAGGAGAAAATAGCTCTGAATTCTAATGTGCAGTCCAATAAGGTGTTTACAAATGGTTTTTAGTCAATTCATTTATCATTACTTACTGTCCTAAAATCAAAATGTTATAAAGAACAAATTATAGAGAAGTAATGAAAATCACTGAGAGAAGTATCGTGACTTGTGCTATGATAACAAAGTCCTGTTATTACAAAGGGCAGCAAGCATTTTACAGAGATACAAACTGGACAGCATTAATAATGAAAAAGGGCACAGGAATGCATTCACACTGTTTCATGACAAGAAGCTGGACAGACGTTCATATTTACCTATTTCATACAGACAGACGTGCTGGATTTCTCTCTGATCTACCGCAAGCTCCAAAGCAGTATGGAAGGAAGTCAAGGCACTGTTGATTTGACACTAAGGACAAAATGAAAACAGACTTACTGGCTGAAATCGGTCATTAACATTACCATCATCACAATTCCAAAGCATCTGTTTCCTTAATAGTTATTTTAGACAGATTAAGCAGTATAGAAAAGAGGGACTTAAAGACTTCTAGAACACTCCACTTTGTCTCACGCAGTTGTGAGATGAACCTAGCACAGAGCACTTCTCCTTCTGCTCAGGCAGGAGATTCCCCCAGTGAGGGCTCAGCTCACCCCCTCCTTCCCCTACAGCACTCTCTCCAGACTTGGACAACAGAACTTGTTGCGTTAGAACAGTTTGCTAATCTAGCTGCGTGTGACCAGATGAGTTTTTACAAGGCAGGGACTCCATTTCACCCTCCTGTGTACACCTGGCCCGGGAAGACTGCAGTCAGTACGGAGGCACTGCACGAGCCCCTCCATTAGTGCAGCCCTCAGCGCCCTCTCCCTCTGTGACCCACTCGCTCTCTGCCACACAACTGACAGTTGGGTCTATACCCAGAATGCCGTTCTCCGATGGCTCTGGTCATCACGTCTCCTCTCCCAACACTCTGCAAATCCTCTGAGGACGCAGATTCCATCTCCGGCTTTTGCTCTCATTCAGCCCTGTCCAGAACCCAACAGACTCTCAATGTCCGCTCTTGTTATTCCTGGGTAAATACATGTCGTGTTTCCTTCCACTAAGATCTCTGTCGAAGTCGGCCAACCTGATGCCACAAGCCCGACAGGAGCCCCTAAAGAGCATCATCAGGATAAAAGGGTTACGTTAAACCCTCACTGCAGCAGCGCCAGGTGTTAAGGATCCCACACCAATAATAACTATCAATCCCAGACGCCCTGAAGATCAGACCCCGCCTGCTCTCAGAGCCGCAGGCCCAGGAGCCTCCCTTTCTTGCCCCCACTGGTGTCAGCCCTGCTCTCCCTCCCCGACACTCAGCCCTCCTGCGGGTCCCTCTGGGCCTCCCTGTGCCGCTCCTCACCACTCCCTCTGCAAGGCCCCAGTGGCCTCTTCTCCCCCCAGGCAGCCAGGAGGGGGCAGAAAGGGTCCTAGAAGAGGGGCTGTGGGCTTGTGTGAGGACCAGCCCCCACCACATTCCTGGGCTCCTTGTGATGCAGGGTCACTGCGGGAGGCCTTGAGGACACAAGACACCCACTGATGAGTCAGAAGGAGATCTGCAGGACAGTCTGTGACTCAGGAACACTGTAGGCCAAATGACCCCTCAACCAAGGCCACTGCTGGATCACTAACTGCTCATGCTCCATAGTAACACTTCACCCTGTTGTCAGGAAGGTTCAAGTGCAGCATTCAACCCCTTATCGCCATCCCCGATGCTGACTAGGTAGCCACGGAAGATACACGTCACCGTGCCACAAGCAGCTTAACGTCTAGTTGCAGGGGACCTCACAGAAATGTAAAACAGGCCCACAACTCTGAGGTCAGACATCCACACGGATGGTAAACACACAGCCAAATACCAGAGACATAAAAAAATCAATCAATCTTTTATGAAGAGCACGTGTGTGCAGAGAGCGACCCAGACACTCATTATACCCATCTCTAACTTTTCCCTTGCCGGATCAGCAGTTCTTTTCCTGCAACACACATGCACTCGATTTAGCATATTTACACAGAAACCGCAGTCTTGGGGATTCTGCTCTTCATGCATCTCCACAGTTTGCTAAGTTAATGACATTCAGCTGTCCCACACAGGATACCGCTGGATGGGCCATCACTATCAAGCTGTCCCCAGCTGGGGTTCAGTGCGTGACATGCCAGGTCACACTGCCCTTCAGAGCACAGAAAACTACTCAGTGAACATTTATTGGGCAACTGCTATGTGCCCAGGATGGTACTAGGCTCTGAAGATACAAAGACAAGTCAAAACAAGGCTTTGAACGCAAGTAAAGAAAAAAGAAACCAAGTAATATTTGTATCAACATTGTTTCTCTTATCTCTTTCAAAATCTCTCTGAGATAGGCGCGTATTAGGACCATTTTCAGATGAAGAAACTGAAGTTCAAAGAGGTTAAGTAGCTTGGTCAAAGTCAACAAGCCAGCAATTAACTAGTATTCAAACTCTGCTCTGATTGACTCCATAGCATGCTCTCTTCAGGGAGAGTGCACGCAGGTGTGATAAAGGAGCTTGAGATGAGGGAGAGTATCCTGGCTTATCCAGCGGGCCCTAAATGCAATCACTGTGTCCTTATAAGAGGGAGGCAGAGAAACAGTTGACACACACAGAGGAGGAGGCATTGTCACGATGAAGGCACAGATTGGAGGGATGTGGCCACAAGCCCAGGAATGCAGGCAGCACCAGAGGCTGCAAGAGGCAAGGAACGCATTCTCCCTCGAGCCTCTGGAGCGAGGCTGCCCTGCCAACACCTTGACTTCATCCCAGTGAAACTGATTTTGGACTTCTGGCCTCCAGAACTGAGAGAGAATAAATTTATATTGTTTTAAGCCACCAAGTTTGTGGTAATTTGTTACACAGCCTTAGAAAACTAATACAGTATATTTTTAAAAAATTAAACCGTGAGGAAAGTACCATGCTCTTTCTGTTACAAGCAGAACTGATAGAACTGGAAAGTACTGAGACCATTTGTGGAGCTTAATGACATTTTCCCAAGAGCAAGCATAACTTCAAAATTAATTCAGTTCTATCCTGATCACTCATTGAGGAATTACAATGAACAGCCACTAAAACAGTGGAAATATATTTCCCCTTACATTTCGTCAAATAATTTAAAATAAAAATGATCTCTGGGAGTTTTTACGGTTACAAATTAAAATATCCACTACATAGCAGAGAAAGGAGAATTAACCTCAATTTGATACTCGATCCACAGTTTAATTTTTTAAAGAAATACACATACCCTAGCTTGAAGAGAATATAGAAAACCGGCTGGTATGAAAAAGCCGCGAAGCCCAGCATTAGACAGTATCATGCAGGCTTCTGTCTCAAGAATTATGCACTGACTTGCTACGTCACAAAAACTACTTGAAGCCCCAGTTTCCTCACTGGTAAAATGAGAAAAAACGTTGGCTAGCTTTACCCGCTTCCAGTGTAAGCCACGAAGAGCAAAAGCACAAGTCTCGGCCAAATTAAATGGAGCATATTTATTGGCAAGTTAAAATCAGCATAATTTATGGCTACTGCAGTGTCACTACTGAGACATGGCGTGTTTTTCCAGTTATTCAGGACTTCTCTCTTGATAGGTGTATTCCTACGCATTTTATAATACTTGTGGCAATTGTAAAAGCGATTTGTTCCTCCATTTTATTCTCTAAGTGAATGTTGCTGGTATGTAGGAAAACTTGGGATTTTTTACAAGTGGATTTTGTATATGTCACATTATTATAGTCTTATGAATTGTCATAATTTTTTAGTTTTTTTCTCCTGGGGTTTCTAGGGAGATATTCAAATCATGTGCAAATAATAACAGTGTTGTCTCTTCCTCTACAAAAGACTTATCTGATAACTGGCTAGGACACCAGTTACAATATTAGCACACATTCTTGCTTTATTCCCATCTGTAATGAGGAGGTTCTAATGTTGCACCACTAACTATAGTTTCTAGCATATGCACGTTTTTAGTAGGTGCCATTTTTACCAAATAGAGAAATTTCCTTTCTATTCCTAATTTGCTAATAGTTTATTTGGTTTTTTAAAGTGCATTTCATTAAAGGCCATTTGGGCATCTATTGATAGGATTGGATGGTTTGATCAATTACTTCCTTAATACAGGGAATAATAGGAACACATTTCCTGAGGCTAAACCACAAGTGCCTTTTGGGAATAAGCCCTACTAAGGTTGTAATATGGCATTTAAAAAATACATTGTTGGATTTGATTTGCTAATACCTATTTAGACTTTCTATATTCAGAATGAAGTTGACCTACAGTATTTTGTTTAGTGCACTCCTCTATGAGGTTTGGTATCAGGATAATGCCAGAACTTACAGACTTGTAGAAAATATTTCATATTTTCTATGCTCTGGAACTCTCTAAAGAACTAGTTCACTATAAAGCCATATCTTTCAGTTGAATAATTCATTTAAATTAATAATTATTTAAATTACCATAGTTTAAATTTTTTCTTTTTTTTTTTTTTAAAGATTTTATTTATTTATTTTTCCCCCAACGCCCCAGTAGATAGTTGTCTGTCATAGCTGCACATCCTTCCAGTTGCTGTACGTGGGACGCGGCCTCAGCATGGCCGGAGAAGCGGTGCATTGGTGCGATCCCGGGATCCGAACCCGGGCCGCCAGCAGCAGAGCGCACGCACTTAACGGCCAAGCCACGGGGCCGGCCCCTAAATTTTTTCTTTTAATGGGCACGCAATGTAACAGAATATTAAATTTTAGTCAACAGTACAAGATTCCAGTCCCAACTTCATAACCAACACAATTTTGAACCTTAGGAAATAATTTGTTTTGTTTATACTCTCAAGGGATGTTGAAAGAAATGAATTCACGTAAATAAAATGCTCTTGGGAAAGGTACATTGTGTTTAAAAATAGCTCTATGTCATCCACTAATAGTGCTGGGAAATAAATCACAATATTGTTTCCAACATTAAGAACCAAGACTTGGGCAGTAAGTGGCAATTAAGCTTCTCACAAATTATTTCAGCCACCAGGAAAAGTCCCACATTCTATCTAGCAGGCATAATTAAGAGCTGTCTGAGTTAAGAGTCTACCACAAATATACAAGAGTGTACTCTTGTCTAATCCAAAAACACACATACCTGGAGAGATAGGAGACAAAGAAAAATGAAACATGTAATATGAAGGGATGGAGTAACCATAGGCAACATTTTCCACCCAATTTTAAAAATGTAAATTATTCTTAAGATATTTCCACAGTAATATATTTTTAAAGCCCTTTAGAAAGTAAAGATCTCAAAGTACAAATATGAAAACACAAAAAGTATGAATAATTTTCACAGTCAGCACAGTAAGCTTGGGATTACTAATGTTACATTCTATTCTACTCAAAGATTTTCACCGGCAATCCTAAGCTGAGAGGATTCATTCAATTCAGCTACTTAGAAAAAGGTTTCATTTCCAGAGCTGCAAAAAAACTGGAAATGGAAACAAGGCCAAGTTCATTGGGCGCCTGGCCCTGACTGTAGGGCCAAAGGGACACCAAGTTCCAGACTTCCCTAAATCCGTAAAGTCAGCAGTTTCCTCTTGTACCGCCTCCAAAATCGCGTTTAACCTTAAATGACAGCAATAGCTCACAAACAACAAGGTCTCGGCTCAGAGCCAGTCTACTGACATTCAGATAACGTTGGTATCACTTAATTCTGCTGGGTTAAACACCAGAGAGGCAATCACTGTTGTGGTGCCAAATCGACAAACACAACAGTGGCTTGGTCTCAGCTGCCGGGGAAGGGTGTTCCCATGCAGAGAGCTCTAATGTGCACTTGTTTTTGAGAATTTTCAGTTCTGTTAGATAAGTTTGTAAAACATAGGCACATTCTTGCAAGATGTTTTAAGTAATTAGCAAGCAAAGAGTTTGCTAGGCGCAGGCAGAATTCCTGAGATGTGCTAAGAATACAGTAAGTACTTAGCAAGTAGAGTCTGTGTGGGTGTGTGCGCGCTAGAGAGAAAGAAGAACGAAAGAGCGAAGAGATCTAATATTCATGAGGCACCTGGGTACTAAATATACATGAGACTAAATATACAAAAAGCAATAAATATTCAGAATACTAAATATACATTATGACTTAATATTCATGAAGTCTTAATTTGGCCACCCATTGGTTGATGCCCATTCTGGCGCTACGTCCCCTGCCCAAGAAACACTGGTAAAATCCCTGACCGTCCATCAGTTTAATTAGCTGTGGCCAGGTGTACTCATCCAGTGTATTTCTGATCAAGTGTGTGTCACTGGCCCAGGGCACCTTCCACCTGTAGGCACCTCTCTCCTTGTACCCAACTGTCAGTGAGGAAGGCTTATATGTGGAGTGGAGCAGGATACCGCATACCACGTACTGTAGGACTCAGGTGGCACGGCCCTTCCGCCCCACTTGCACCCTGTCCTGAGAGTGTTAACTGACGCTCTCTCTTTCCTCTTGTTTCTTGCTGTGTGTTTTACACTGATTTAGTAACCTGTGTGATTCAAGCCAATTTTAATATGGCCTGTGAGTCATTCTGTTCTGGGACCTCTGGGAGAGCTTGCTGGGTAGCGTACGCGGAGGCTACCGGGGTATCGGTGGCATCTCTGTGAAAACGAGGAAAACCCCAGATGCCTGTGAGAAGACACTAATTTGCACTGCCAATTATTATGGGCTGAATTGTGTCCCCCCAAATTCATATGCTGAAGTCGCCTAGTATCTCAGAATGTAACCGTATTTGGAGATAAGGTCTTTAAAGAGGCAATTATGTTAAAATGAGGTCTTTAGGGCAGGCCCTAATCCAATATAACTGGTGTCTTTATAGGAAAAGGAGATTAGGATGCAGACATGTGCACACACAGAGGAAAGACCACATTAGAGGGAGAAGGCGGCCATTTACAAGCCAAGGAGAGAGCCCTCAAAAGAAATCAAGGCTGCCGGCACCCTGATCTTGGACTTCCTACCTCAGGACTGTGAGAAAATTCTGTACCCATTCTGTGGTTCTTCGTTTGGCAGCCCTAGGAACCTAATATAACCCCTGTCAGAGGTTCCCTTTCTTAGGGAGCCATTCGTCTGTTCTCCACCCTCACGTATGTGGTGGCGCGCAGTATCCTGCTTCTCTGGAAAACTTTTCTGGTCTCAGGGAGAGGATGAGCACCTGACCCAAGCGAGGCAAATCACAGTACCTCCTCCACCCCCAAATGAGAATCCACCCCTGGAGTTGTTCTTACAGGTGATGAAGGTGGGTAGGTGTGGTCTCCAACTGCCTGCATGTGTGTAAGTATGTATTTCAGTGTGTGGGGTAGGGGTATATGCGTATACGGTGCACCTAAGTTATTTCCTCATAGGTTAGCAAATTGCACAGTAATTCGTATAAACACTAGACCACCTGCTACAAAGGTTTTACCAATTTACATGTGTACCAACAGTTTATAAGGGGCCTATTTCCCTATACCTCTTTCTAACACAGAATGTTTTTACTATCAGCCAATCATTTTTTCCATGTTGTTTTTTTTTTTTTTTTTTAAAGATTTTATTTATTTTATTTTTTCCCCCCAAAGCCCCAGTGGATAGTTGTGTGTCGTAGCTGCACATCCTTCTAGTTGCTGTATGTGGGACTCAGCCTCAGGATGAAGGGAGAAGTGGTGCCTCGATGCGCACCCGGGATCCGAACCCGGGCCACCAGCATCGCAGCGTGCGCACTTAACCACCAAGCCACAGGGCCGGCCCTTTCCATGTTGTTTTAATCTGCATCTCCTTGATTATATTGTGACGCTCATATGTTATTGGCCATTTGTATCTTATTTCATGACTTGTTTGTTTAAGTGTTTTGGCTATTTTTCTTTTCGTATGTTTATATACATCCTTTCACTATGTTCTAATTTTGCAAGAGCTCTTTCTATAATAAGGATGCTAACCTTTGATCACTTATTTCCTAGTTTTATTTTTCATTTTTTAACTTTGTATATTTTTGTAATATATACATTTATTTTTATGTCAATTCTACCAATCTTTGGATCAATCTATGACCAATCTTTTCCTTGATATGTTTTGGTTTTAGAGATATGCTTATAAAGTCCTTGATGGAGGAGGATGGGGCTTTTAATACAATCATGCACATGGAATCTATGAATTTTGCATGATTAAGGAAATTTCTCAAAATGCCATAAATATGGCTGCTCCCATTCTGACAGAAACCCAGGGGCTACAGAAATATAACTATTATCACAGCACAACTGAGAGGAAAAGAGCAAGGGGCAAGAGTATTCATTCATTCAAAACAAACACAAACACACACACACACACACACTCTAAAGCCCTGTGGTCTAGAAGCCAGGCACTGGTTGAGGCATTTAAGATAAGCAGTGACCCAGACAAAGTGCCTGCCTCGTGGGGCTTAACGTTCTCATTCTACCGGAGACAGACAGACAATGAGCAAATAAGGAAAACACCATGTGTCCAATGAGGATGAGTCTGGGCAGAAGTGAGGTGGGTGGTAATGAAGGGGGACAGGGAGTCCAGATAGGGAGTGAGGCTGACACGTTCAATACCACAGTCAGGGAAGGTCTCCCTGAGAAGGTGACTGAAGAAAATCCAAGGAGATGAGGGAGAGGGTGAGGCAGATAACAGGGTAAAAGCATTCTAGGCAAGGGTCCAGAAGGTGCAAAGGCCCTGAGGCAGAGCATGCCCTGTATGTTTAAGGAAGGAAGCCAGCGAGGCAGGCGTGGAGTTGGGGTGGGCACTGAGAGGTGGATGATGAGGTCGCAGAGGTTACAGGGGCTACTGTGTGTAGGGCCTTGTAGGCCATTATAAGAATTTGGGTTTCTGCACGGAAAGAGAAGGGAAGTCATTTAAGGGTTTTGCACAGAGGCATGACATGATGTGACTTAAATTTTACCACAGCCACTTGGGCTGTGCTGAGAACAGATTGCAGGGCAGGAAGAGCAAAAACAGAAAGTCAGGAGACTTTCAGTCAGGAGACCACCACAACCATCCAGGAGAAAAATGACGGTGGCTGGGATCGGCGTGTGGTGGGAAGGGTAGAAAGAAGTGGTCTGATTCTAGAGGTGTTTTGAAGAGTAGAGTTAACAAGATTTACTAACGCTTTGGATGTGAGGCGTGAGAGAAAGAAAAGTCAAGGATGACTCCAAGGTTTTCAGCACAAGAGGACAGAGTAACCAGCAAGGAAGATGCAGGGGACTGCAGGGAGGGCAGCTCTGGGGACAAGAAAAGGAGCCTGGGTGAACTGCCTACTGGAGATGTTGAGTGGGAGACTGGACATGAGTCTGGAATTCAAGAGGGAACTCTGAGCTAGAGAACAAATTTGGGGATCACTAGAATATATGGGGTGTCATGAGGTTGGATGAACTTGCTAAAGGAATGAGGGAAAGTAGTAGAGAGAAAAGTCCAAGACCTGAAGTATCCCTCAGAGGTTGGGCAGATGAGCAGGAAGCAGCAAAAGAGACGGAGAAGGAGTGGCTGAGGAGCCTGGAGGAAAACCAGGAGTGGGTAAGATCCCTGGGCCAAGAAGAGGGGAGAGGAAATGAGCAACACTGAGCAGAAATCTACACTGGAGGAAATTAATCTCCTTACAATATGGTTGATGAGGACTGGATTTAAAGTGAGAATGTTGGGGGGCCAGCCCCGTGGCTTAGCGGTTAAGTGCGCGCTCTCCGCTACTGGCGGCCTGGGTTCGGATCCCGGGCGCGCACCAACGCACCGCTTGTCGGGCCATGCTGAGGCAGCGTCCCACATAGAGAAACTACAAGGATGTGCAACTATGACATACAACTATCTACTGGGGCTTTGGGGAGAAAAAAGGGAAAGGAAAAAAAAAAAAGGAGGAAGATTGGCAATAGATGTTAGCTCAGGGCCAGTCTGCCTCAGCAAAAAAAAAAAGAGAGGAGGATTGGCATGGGTGTTAGCTCAGGGCTGATATTCCTCAACAACAACAACAAAAAAAAAAGAAAAGTGACAATGTTGAGCAAGTACAAAGGATATGAGAAGAGGCCTCTGAAATTCCTAATTAATTCACAAAATCCCATTTATAAGAGAGGGACTATCCAATGTGAATAACACGAGACTTTGAAAGAGACTCAGCAAATAAACAAAAGATGATGGTGACCCTGAAACACATTTCTTAGGAAATATGGCAGAGGATTTCAGTGAGTCCCTAAGAACTGGATCACAGTGAGTATGGTGCATTACTGCTGACTATACATATGAATTGCAGATTAGTAAATTACACATAGATCTCCATACCACAGGGATGTTCTGTGAATCTCCACTTGTCATTCATAGTCTGTACAAATTTCTGACATAAGAACTCCTCCAGAGCTTATTGTGAATGATTATTGAGAAGATACAGATCTCCAACTGATAATGATAGTCAATACTCTAGTACCTAGCAAAAGGTAAATAGTAGTTATTTCTAGAATGCAAGACTTTTATCTGCTCCTTGATGTACTTCTGTATTTTACCACGTTCCCAAATGACTACGCATTATTTAGACATAACAAGGTGGCAGGAAATATACGTTCTGATGCTGAAACTTTAAAGAATGCTGCCTTATCCAGCTTATTCTAGTCTCATCATCGTCATCACAAGAGTTAATGTGTGTGGCACTCTTATCATGTGTCTGGTAAGAAGGCGAACCCTCTTGGGACAATCTGTGTGCTTTGCTGAAGGCCACGCAACTGTTTTAGGTCGAAGTGCTGAAATGTGAACCTGTTCGTTCTGACTCCGGAGCCCACACTCCTCACTTCTGTGCTCCTCAGGTCCCACCTCCTCTGTCCCCACTTCCCCAGTCATCCCCACCCAGAATGACCACCCATTCATGCGGTACTTCCCTTCTGTTGCCTTTTCATGCATTCACATTATCTTTATCATTAGATTATAAGTTTCTTTGGAGGCAGGAGCTCTATTTTTCTTGGCATCACCCAAAAGACCTTTTATATCACAGGCAACAAATCTCTGATTAGGTACAAATAACGGAATATAGTAGTTATGTTTTCAGCACCTCCATGTGCATGGACAGCAGTCTCCTTGAAAAATGAGTTACGTAACCGAATCTACCACTAACAGTAGAGGAACTGAATAATGCACCGGTTACAAGATTTCCTTGGTCTCTCAACAGTTATGGACATAATTTTGACAACATTTATGATGGAAAGTGCTTTATACTAGATTTACAACCCAGACACAATTCTGTCTAAACAGGAAAAGCCCTGACCAAGCACTGTGTGTTCAGCGCTTTACCACACCCACGTTACATTATTGAAGGCTGACCTGGGAGATACTGCCCTTTTTTTACAGACAAGGACACAGGCTCAGACAGCTCTGCAAGCCAGTAAGTGGAAGAGCCCATTTTGAGCTGAGCTCAATGCTTTTTCAGCTATACCATGCTGCCTTTTAAAATTACAGAAAAAGAATTTATATGAAAAATAGCAGTAAATTTAAAAGAAATGTGCTTATGTTAAAGATGCTATCAAAGACTTAAAAATATCAGTGAAGAAGATAACACAAAGAACTAACTCAGAAAAACAAAGACCACAGGAATACAGAACACACTAACCTACAAAGAGTCACACTATTCAAAAGAAGACAGCAATTCAAGATAAAGAGACAGACCTAGAAAATAGATGGAGAGGATCTAACATGCACAGAGAGAAACAAACAGAAGCCACAGTCAGGAAAGTGACTTTGAAAAGTTTTCCTAGAACTGAATGGCATTCTCTGTAAAGGCTGTCAAATGGGCAAGCTGCTACGTGGGATTTTTTTCAAAGAGGAATTAAAGACAACTTGTGAAAAAAAGAAATAATCCCAGGTAATTACTTCTGAAGATTAAAGAACCACAAATTTTTTTATAACAGCTTTGTTGAGATATATTTCACATACCATAAAACTCAGCCTTTTAAAATGTACAATTAAGTGGCTTTCAGTATATTCACAGAACCATAAAATTTGAAAACTGGAAGAAGTCTTAAAAATTATGTAACCTAGTGTTTCTCAAAGTGTGTTCTACGGAACCCTTCTAGTCTCACAGGCTACTGTATGGAAAAGAATTTTCCTGGTCAAATAAATAGGTAGACATGGCATACCTGCCTACTCTCTTTCCCTCAGGGTGTAAAACTAAATTTTCTGAGAAACCCCAGGATATTCCAATTTACCTGACATGGAACCTCTTTCCATGGTATGTGCACTAACTAGTCCATCAAATCAGTGCTCCAGGGCAGATGCCTCAGAAACTCTGATTTATTCCAACCCTCTAATTTTCCAGGTAAAAAAAGAGTGCCAGAAAGGTTGACTAGCTTGACTGAGGTCTCACAGCTCTTCCAAACTGTCCGATATGTGAGCAACCATTTAGAAGTAGAGAGTGTTCCTACAGTTTCCGACAGAGCCAAAGCCAGATCTTCAGACTGTGGTCCAACGCTCTCTCTACAACACTACACATCAAACCTGAAGCTCTGAAGCCATGAGACAACACAGTCCCAGAGCCAACAAGCTCCCTACGAGAAACCACAGAGAAATGAGGACCACTCCACTAAAGAAAGAAATCAGCGCCCCAAAGTATTGAGTCCAAAATCATAAAGAAAAACAGAAAAGTTCAATATGATACTATGAGAAAATATAATATTTCATAGAAGAGTCCAGGACAAGGGGTAGGTAAAACTGAGAAACGCTATTTCCTAAAACCAGACGCTGAGTCATCCTCGATGGGAGTTCACCGTACATTTATTGTATCAGAAGAGTGAGGAGCAGAGAACTGGACCACTGACTGCCCGGATGTGTGAACCCACGTTTAAAATAGGAGAAAAACAAGCAAAACAATCATCTTTTCAATCTGATACTAAGGAAAAATCTACCCACAAATATGTAAGCAGAAATGGAAACAAACAAGAACAATAAACAAAACCCTGAAGAGCAATGGAAAACAATACACATGCATCATTACACAATTAAATATGAACAGAAACTCCTCTGTGAGGAAGGAGATTTGGATTAAAAAGCAAAATCCAATTATCTGTTGCTTCCCAGGTCACCCCTATCCCAACCGCCTCTCTCCACCGAATGCTCCAGCTCCACTGAACTCCATCTCCCCAGGATCTGGCCTTTTCTCGCATCTGGGCTCGAACGCAGGCCCATCTCCCATGCTCTTACCTCTACCTGCAAACTCCTACTGACTCTTCAAGAGCCAGCCAAAATACCCCAACTTCTGGGTTGTCTTTCCCAGCAGTGTGGGAGGCACCACGGCTGAGCCACACCCTGCTTTACCTTCAGATAAGCCTCCTTTTATGTTTCTCAAAGCCCAGCCATGTCTGCATCTGCTTACACGCCTGTTGCCATGCAGTCCCCATCTCCCCGAGTGCATGAGCTCTGTCACTGTCACCTTAGTGCAGAAGCCTTAACAGCAGCCACAGCGGTGCCGCCATCATTACAGCCAACAATGACCGGCACTCACTCAGAGCTCCACGAGTAGCACACACCTCCCAGATTACCACCTCACTGCATCTTAACAGCAAAACTATGCCCTAGGTACCACTAGGGTCCCCATTTCACTGAGGAGGGAAGGTTTAAAGAGATGAAGGGTCTCATCCAAGGTCACTCGGCCAGATCAGAGGAGCCAGGACGTAGCCCAGCCAGCTGGCCTCCAGAGCTGAGCCCTTAGCCACAGGCTAGTGTCAAGCCGAATTGGAGGACAACACACAGACTCAAACAAGGGGACCATACAGAGCACACAATTTACCAAATGACACAACTGAGATTAATCATAACAACAAAAGACACACGACAACGAACATTTAATAACATGAAACCTTTAGGCAGCCTAAAGGAAAACTGTTTCCTATAGTCACAACACTTCTGACACCAAACGTGTGGAGTTTTCCCACACCAACGAATTCTCCAATTCTCTCCTGACATCAATTGGGTGTCCCACAATTTAATTCAATTCTGACACTAAGTACTCGGAGTTAGTACAGTCCCCACAGGTTAGGGGCTCAGTCCTATAAGACTGCCCCCACTTCAGAGGCCAATTGCCCGTAGTGGCTCAACAGGTAGCTCTATCTGATATGGTGACGAATCAGGGGTTCCCATGACCCCCTCCTCAGGTTCAATAATTTGCTAGAATAGCTCACAGAACTCAGGGAAACACTTTCCTTACCATTACCAGTTTATTACAAAAAACACAAATGAACAGCTAGATGAAGAGATACATACGGCGAGGTATGGAAGGGTCCGAGCA